TTTTTAATTATAATTTTTTATCCAAAATCCAGTGTCTGAATTTTGAGAATCTAATATTTCTTAATACTCATAAAATTTCAAGTTTAGTAACTTTTTGGCATTATTGTCATTATTAACCTGTATGTTTCTAAAATATAGCTGGATAAATTTTAATATTTTTAATGGTTTTAAAAGAGAATGAAAACTGAAGAAGTAAATAAAAAGAGGGCATACATTTGCAAAGCTCTTCTAATATGGACGTAAAACACATAATTGAATTTTGAATTTTCATTATAAAATGCTCAAATTAGGGATCACTTAATATGAAATCACCTGGTGTACTCAGTAATCTATTACATATTTACCCATTTACTTACTTTTGTCTGTTGACAAAAGTATCTAAAGTATCATTGTATTTAGAGCAATATTCATATCCCAATGATTACTAAGAAAGTGCCCCCAAATTTCCTTAAGGTTGAAAACCAGGGAAGAATACATAAATATTTACTTTTATCTTAAATATATAATCCTTGTATAGTGTAGAATTTTTATTTCAAGAATATGACAGATTATAGTTATTTTAAGGTATTGAGCAAAACTCATAACCTTGAATTTTGGAATAATATTACTAAGGTAAAAAAAGCTTTAGATATCTTCTCAAATTCTAACTCTCAGTGAATTCCAGGAAACCTAACTTTAATAAAGAAAACACTATGGTAAATAACTAAAACTGAATTTCAATTAATTAAAATTACTAAGAATATGAAAGTTGATGGTTAAAAGGACAATTACATTCGAAGAAGAATTTGGTTTACAAAAAACTAGCAACATATAATAAAAACACTGCTTGATATTCCAAAAAGAGAAATTAATTTAGTGATTACATACTGAAAGTTGTCCAGATAAGAACTGTGGGACATCCCTCAACATGCCAGGACTCATGGGAGAGGTAACGGAAATAGAAGGACGATCCATTTTCTGAGATTCGAATGAGCTAGAACCTGAAATGGTAATTATACATAAAGAATAATAACAGCTCTTCATTAGCATTTAATAATCTTTACCTTCTATCACTTAAATTTTTTAATGTCCACAGAATATCATTATATAGACCATGTTCTTGGCCACAATGTTCCAAATACACTTAAACGGTTCTACTGAAGTATAAACGAAGCTTAGGGATTCTCTTAAGACCAAGGATGTACCATTTTCTGTGCCAATTATAGTCGAGAGAGACCTATATATACATCAGGACTTATTTACTTTGTCTGTTATGTGTATTGAACTCATATTTACAATAACATATTAAGAAAATTTTAAAATGGAAACTTAGGTAGGAAATACCAAAACCTAAATCAATAAAGCAACTTGAGAACCATCTAAACTTGTAGTGCTTAAAAACATACTAGAATGTTGTTATAAAATGTTTCCAGGAAGTGACTTCTTAAAACTATATCTAGAAGTATATAATAAATTACATGGGCATAAAAGAAATGAGGGACTATTAAAATATATATCAGAAAAGCAGAACCACAGTACCCAGAAGTTACACATATGAATATATTTCCATGGAGGGGAAGAGACAAATTAGAAAGTGAATAAAAATGGGGCTAATACAATACTGGGGGGATTAAGTGCCTGGAATTCTGGGTTACACATCTTGGTGCTAATGAAGTACCCATTCATGCTAAGCTCTTACAAGTGAGGTAATAAAAATTGCATTTGAGGAAGGTGACTTTACCACTTATTTAAAGTGTAAATGCAATTTAGTGAGATGGACAACAAAACCAAGTCAATTCAATAAAATAATAATAGGGCCAGCCAAGTGGCTCAGTTGGTTAAGATCGTGCTCAAGAGTGCCAGCTCTGAGCAACAGGGTCGCCGCTTCGATTCACAGCCGGAGCTGAGCTGCCACTGAGCTGCCAACAGGTGGCAGGATGGCTCAGCTAAATAAATAAATAAATAAATAAATAAATAAATAAATAAATAAATAAATAAATAAATAAAATAATAGGAAGGGTTGTGAAAATGGAATACAAAGAATTCAGGTGATATAAATGAGAAAATGAGGACTTAGAAACAAATTAGATATGAGATATAAAGGAAAGAGAGGGGAAAAAATTAAGATTTCAAGTCTTATAACTAGATATTGGGTCAAGAAAGTCCCCCGTGTGTCTGTCTTGTTCTCTGCATAGGGCCACACTGATAATCCCTGGGATGTAGAACACTGGAGGAGTCCTGTGTTTAAGGGGATGGGTGGAAAAGTTAATTTGGAACACAGTGACCCTGTGACACCTCTGACGCACCCAAAAGATGAAAAGAAGGTAACTGAATATATGCACGGAACCAAGTGTCAAGTAGACACTATTGCTGGAAATTAAACTTAAAGTGTCTCCCTAATCGGAGGCCCAAATGGATAAAATTCACCTTTGTCGAGAGTAGTGTAAAATGAAAGGGGAAACTGCAAGCCTGCATCAGGAGTAATGATGATACTTTTTATAATATTTAGAAGTGGAAAGGATGTTGACTTTATGGTAAGAAATAAGCTCAGTTTTCTACATGTTAAGCTTCAAGGAACAGAAAGACACTTAACAGAAAGAAGTATATTCTTTAAACATTCAGGGATAAAGAGGCAATGATAAGGGGTTATCATTTTGTGAGGGGTATAAATGTCTAACTATTACATTGTTTTGTACACCTGAAACTAATAATAATAATAATAATAATAATAATAATAATAAAAGTGAAAAAAAAGAGACAATGATAGATCCTTTTGATAATGTAAACTTAGGCGTCATATGGCCATAAAACTATATGAAGATAAGAATTTATTCAGGAACTAAAGACAGGAGCTTAAGAGTTGGGCTAGGGGAAACCCATACTTCAGCATTTAATGAATAAAGGACTAAATCTGATTTGAGAAGGACCCCTGTCTCCTTAGAAACAATTTTGGAATTGTTCCACACTGCTCACACAATAGCTGGGTGATGTAATGTAAGTAAACAAAAATTTATCTGCATCTGAGGATTGTAAGAAATAAGTGTGACAATGTACACACAACATCAAGCACAGTTCCAGGAACTCAATAAAATGGGAGCAATGATGATGATAATATCATTATATATAACAATAATTATTATTATATTAGTATTTATTTATTATAGCATAGCTTCATATGATCATGGTACTATTTTGGATAAGATGATTTAGAATCCAGCCAAAGGTACTAAATCAAATTGGCCAGATGATCATATTTCAAAGAATAGCGCTACGCCATTCCAAAGGGATTTCACCTACCTGGTAAAGATTCTTAAAGAAATTTATATTTGCAATTGTAATATAAAATTAAAAATACCTCTGTTTCAATATGATATTCTCAATTATTGTTTAGAGAATCCAACCACTTCTCACTACCTTCTTTAAGTTACCATCATTCTCGCCACTAAAATACTAAAACAGTCCTCTCACCAGTTTCTCTTCTTTCACCCCAACTCCACTTCATCTATTTTCTTTCTTTTTTTTAATTAACAAACCTATCTAAAAACACATACTAGTTAAGACAGTATGGTTAGAAAAACTATCTTATAGTATTATAGACTTTTGTATTTTTTCCAACAATGACATAAAATAATGCTAAACTTTACATCTTTATATGATTATATACTTGGTAACAAGATTATTATATTTCTTGGGCCAGCCGAGTGGCCAGCCAAGTGGTGCGCAGGTTAAGAGCTGGCTTAGGACACCAGTGGACCCCAGTTCGGATCCCACATATGAGGGCCAGTGACACTGCCCTCTACAGCTAAGATGCTGAACAACAGCTCAACCTGGAGCTGGGCTGCCGTGAGTCACCTGCGATGGTGTAGGCTGCAGCCCCTGCTGCAGTGGGTTGCCATGGGCTACTGTGTGTAGCCAGCAGCTAGTGTGAGCGGCCAGCAGCCGCAAAGAGCGGCTGGCCAGAAGCCAGCAACTGATCTGCCTCGCCCGGGAAGAGCGCAATGATGGTGCCAACTTGGGCCAGTGAAGCAATGTCCTCCACAACTAGACTGAAGAACAAAAGGACAGCAACTTGTCTGTTCCCCTTCCCCAATTCCCCAGCGCTGTTCCCATCCCCCAATTCCCCAATACAAATCTTTAAAAAAAAAAAAAGATTATTATATGTCTTATTTTGTATTAATAGATTAAATACATCATTTGAATCCTGATGAATGACATTGTTAATAACATTTTCTTTCAGAATAAATGAAACTTACTGGACTCCAGTTGTGCATGTGTGCTATCAGGTATTCTAGGTATATCTCTGAAATGATAGAAAAGGAAAATAAAAAATTGTTTCAACAATTAATGCTACTGCTATTTTGATGACATCAACCTATATTATAGCAGGATAGTGTAAAATGAACAAAATTGTGTATGATAGCAGAATTACATAAACAAGGAAAAAACAATCTACAGTCCTCTATTACTAATAAAAGTATTCTGGGCTAATTCCCACTACTTAAAATTTATACACATTTATAGCAGATTTGTAAAAAGTATATACTTTACTTTCTATGTGTCTCACTACACAATTGTTCATTCTAAAAAATTTCTGCATTGAACAAGTTTTATAGATATATTTTAATTGTATCCTACTCTTTATTTTTACTTGCTGTTGTTCTAAATCTTTAACATTAAAATGTAAATAATATATTACCAAAACAAAAACTAAAATATTCAGATTGTGATTGAAGTTTTTAAATATAATAGCTCCACTGAGAAAAATGCAACCATGTTTCTTACCGGGACTTACAAAATTACCTTGCAACTGCATTTACACCAAAAATATATAAAAAATATTTAAGATATTAAACAAAAGTATTTAAAGTATCTTTTAATACCAAGAGATATAGTTGATACTATACTAAGTTGATACAGTGTTGTTTTACCACAGTATGAAACTTTAAAAAGACAAAATGAAAAATAAATACAATCATGTGCCAGATTATTACTTTTGAAAGAAACATTAAAAAACTAAGCTACCAACTTAAGTAATTTTCTACAGCATAAAAAGAGATCAAAATATTATAGTCGAATCATTTCCAAATGAATCAAAATTGGGCATTAGTATTATATACAAAAGAATAATTCCTATAGCCTCTACACTAGAATGCTCTTACCCTGAACATGCATTTAAGAATTCACTGTCAGTTTATAATTTTTAACTGCTTCTTCTAGTTATAGGTGCATCTTTTACAATTGCTTAGAATATAACCCTCTATAAAGGAAACACTGCTGTGATAGTTAATGAGTAATTCTCATAATAAGGCGCAAAGGACTATGTTTCCTGCCAACTTTTCAAAACTTTCAATTTAATCTACAGGTAACAAATTATAAAAGTCAAAGAGTATTTGACATTTACTTATTTTTTATCTTTTTTCCTTAAAAATGTTAAGTTCTTCCTTAAATTGTTCCTCGTATCTGGGAATAGCATGCCTTTAGACCCTCTCTTTTCTATGTTGAAATCTCCTTTTTGAAAAAACTATGGAAAATTCACAGAATATAGTTGATGCTCATTTTTACAATGCAAAGGACCACAGTTCAAAAAATTCCTTTAAAAGTAATTGTTACTATAGTCCTCTCCTACTAATGCCATTAGCCATCTATTAAGCTACTAAGGTAATAAAAAATAACAGATGCCTAAATATTTCTTCTTCTTTTTTAACTATAACTGTATAGTCTAGCATGATCAGATAAAGAGATAGCATGATTTTTGGTGAGTTGTTTTTAGTAAAAAAAAAAAATCCTCAAAATAATTTACTTTTATAAAAAGCAATCAGACATTTTCGGATTGCACATTACAAATTGTTTAATAGTAGTCTACCCTATATATGTGAAGAGTACTCAAACCAACTTACCCAATAGGTCTTGAAACAACAAGCTCCACTTGTGGTTCAGGTTTAGATTCCAGAATGATGTTATATACTTCTTCAAATGTGGCTCCTTGCAATAGCCTTCCATTCCATTCCAACACTTCATCACCTATTGGGTGTGTCAGTAATAATAATCTTAGAAAGAAAATCTAATCCAATAAAATGTAATAAAAACAAAGCAATCTTAAGCTGCAATGAACTCCACAGAATAAAATCATCAATATGGAATAAGAAATAAACTGAGAACAGCTTCAGTGGCATAAAATTTCATGAGCAGGATGATTAGTATATTTTACCCAAAAGAACAAGGGTAAAAAAATTACACACAAAAAAATTACATAAAAGTTATCTCTGTGATTTCCAGTGTTTTCTCAGTGGTGTCTTGTTCATGAATAGTTGTTAGTTCTTTTTGGGAGGGGGACCTAAATCAGGAGCAAACTGTCGCCATCTTGGTGACGTCACTCCTGTCTCTATGATTTCTTAATAGAAATTCTAATTCTAGAAACTATCAAGATCAGTTACCCTTTTGTAGATTTCATGACTGCATTCTAGGTTTTTCAAAATACACCCAGCTGAGCCCCTTATCTAAACTCTCTTGTGAAAAGATTAATATCTAGCATCTTATATCTTATAATGTCCAATGCTCTCATGGATGTCTCCAATAGCATGCATTAACAAAGAGATAAGGAGTGATACAGTTTAGGAAATATGTATTTATCCACGAAGTTGGTTTCCTAAACTATTTTGGAATTTTTTCAGAAGGAAAACAAAGGCTAATGAGTAACAAATTAGGTTAATACTAGATACAGACTAGTAATATCAGCCAAAAAAAAAATCAGTACATACAAAAATTTTTTATCCAATGTGAATCAAGAAATAATAGTACAACCTTCTATTAATGAATACATTTGTATTTAAGTTAAATGAGCTCTTTGTTACTGGTCACATCACTTCTAAATGAGCGTAACTTTTTTATAACTACTTAAGTTTAACATTTTAAATGTAAATAATCAAAGATAGAAACCTACCTGGTCTAAGATGTCCTACAGTATCAGCTAAACTTCCTTTTTTTACTTTGGTAATAAATGCACAGAGCCGACCTGATTCAATCATCTTTCCTCCTACAACCTATTTAAAAGGAGAAAGTATTAAGAGACATATTGTTCCAATGAACATGATTGAAGATTGAAGTAAAAAATAACTAGACAATTTGCAGCTTTTAAAACTATAACTTAATATACTAAAAACAATTTTTAAATAATATAGTGCTGTTATTAGAAACTGAACACGTGTCACAAGTGTAATCTTTACATATTCACAATGTTTTACAATTTAATCCATTATTTGTTGAAAATGTTGCATACCTTAGAAACAATTTGTAATTTCTGTCTTTATTACAGGATTCTTATTTTCATAATTTCTAAAAGCATGTTATTTCAGTACTGTGTAATTATATTAACATATCTAGTTACAGATTTCAAATATTATAATAATATAAATACTTGATACTTTTGCTATTTGTGATATCCTACAAAAATTTCATTAGTAATCCTTTAGGAACATTGATAATGTGTATGATGATGATATATTTTTCCTGAGAAAATTTAAAAATTTACTTAATCTTATCAGAATTCATGTGAACTTTATACCATTTGCATCCCAGTTTTTCTATTTTTATGTTTCTATTAATATATATGTTTCATAAAAAGAAAAGCAACTGTTAGCAATAATGCTGTGGAGTCATATATGTACTTGTAACATTTATGAGGGAACTCATAAATGAATGCTGTGATTCTCATCAACTGCCATTCAATCAATATATTAACTTTATGGCAAATTAAGTAACTAACTTCATTGACTAAAATAGTTTTTTTCCTCTTCTAAATTGAGTGAAAGATATCTGAATTCAAAAACCATTCATTTATCTTATTCCATGTATTTATTTCCAAGCTGCAGTGAATTACAATCAGTTACAGTTCAGTGAATACTAACTATTCCTATGTTTAATTCTGAAAATTAAATGTATAGATATTTAGGACAAATCTCTATGTTAATTTTTAAAAACTTTCCTGGCTTGATAAATATTAATAGTAATAATGAATATTACTGACTAATTATTATTATTGAAATCTTATAAAATGTCAGGCACTGTACTAAATGTTTATATATAGATTTACTCAATCTTTTTATAACATTCAGTAAGTATTATTATCTCCATTGTACAGGTGAGGAATCTAAGACTAAGAGAATTTTAGTTGATCAAAGTCATGTACTTAGTAATTGCTATAACCTCTATACTATACTGCTCTAACAACATACTGGGCAGCTCTGAATTTAAATCCCACCTTCATCACCACCTTGTGACCATGAGCAAGTTATGACACCTCTCTAAGCTTATTTTTTATTGGTTGTGACTATTAAATAAAATGATAGATATAAAATGCTCAGGTGAGTGCCAGTCACATGGCAGCCACCCAATAAATGTTAGCTGCATAATTCTACTTACATCCAAATTTTCTAATATCTCTCACTTACTATATTCTATACAACTTCTGTAGCAATGGCTTAACTAAAACATTTTCTCTTTTTTTTAATTCCGTTTTTAATTCACCATACAGATGTACAAAAAACCCCAAAACAGAACTCTATTTGTTATAATTACTAAATGTCTGTTATTTTACAATAAAATATAAATCAATATTTATATTAAACTTCCTAACAAGTACTTTTTAGTTTCCAGACTTCAAACAGTATTCTTTCTTTCTCACACACACATACACACAAATACAAATGCATATATTTTAATACACTAATACAAAAAGTATATTCCTGTGTAATATATATATTACAGTTCCCCAGTCTGTGTATTTAGTAATTGAATAAAACTATTATTTTAATGGAATATAAACACAGATATAGACTTAAAGGACAAACTATATAGGTAAAATAAGTTTGAGCACTATATTTAGGATTCAAGTATATAACTTTAGTTATATTTTCCAAAATTATATATACAAGTGTTATTATAGATTAATGGCAACTTCTTAAATAAAACTTGGAAAATAAAAAATGGACAATGAAGGCAAATATTTGGGAATTACTGAAAATGGAAAAAATAACTCACTAAATTGATAAAGGTAGAAAGAGTTATTATATCTTTTGCTTTTCTGATAAATCTGTAAAGGAGTATAGAGCCAAAATCTCATATACCTTCATCACATACCTTCAAGCCAAGCATTGCTCCTGAATCTCGAGGTACACTTCCATCTTTTAGACGTTTATTTAATAAAATGCGACCAATTAAACGATCTCCATCTTTAGATGGTTGCCATGTCACAGGGTGCTAACATATTGTATCAACAAACAAACAAAAGTTAATGTTCTTCTACGATGAATGACTCCTTATTTTACAATCTCTCTACATTTCAGATTTCCAAAGTGTCATGATTACACAAACCAGTTTGTATTCAAAACTTCAATCAAAAGGGCTTACTATATTATGCTTATAACCTCAATTTTATAATCTTAAGTTTTGCCAAAATCTAATTAATTCTAATTCTTAAAATGCTCTGACACAATACTGAAGTTATATAGTTCTACAAAAATCTGAGAAATGTTGAAAATATATTCAAACTCTAATTATTCAAAGGGTGCCAAAAAAATGTATACACATTTTAAGAAAAATAAATTGTATTAAAATTGTAATAATATATACCAATAGCAGAAGATGAATACAAGTCGTGTTTGACTTCTGCAGTTACAATAGGTGTTCAACGTGGTTACCATCAGCGTCCAGACACTTCTGGTTACAGCGAACTACTGCTTGAGCAATGTTGACCAAAGCGTCCACTTGAATACATTTCTTTGGCACCCCTGGTATATATGCCAAAGATTAATAAATCCACAGGCAGAAAAGATGCATTAATATACCATGTAGTTAAAGTAAATTAAAAATGAGAAGTTAATCTTCAAACACTTTTGGAAGACTGAATGGCCTTATTACAGTAAAAGTTAAAAGGTCAAATTATATTAAAGCACAAAATTCCTTGAAACAGGTTTCTAGATTAAAATTATAAAAAATACACAATCCCCAACAATTTTCCAATTGAATCTGCATAGGGAAAATAGGTCTAATTCAAAAGTGATTACATTTCTCACTGTTGGGCAGTTCACTGATTCTTTCAGGTCTTTGATCTATTTAGTAAATTAATTTTATTGGATAATTCAACGGTATCCATTGTTAAATATATTTAAAATATTAGGAGTTAATCTCTTTCTCAGAGCGGACCGAGGCCTGTATAAATCATGACACCATTCCATTATGAATTATATGTCAAATAACAAAGTAAATGATTTGTGTAATCATAGTTTCGGTTATCTTAAAGTAACATGCACACCTTCATGCAAAATTTAGCAAGCAAAAAAACAAGTTCCAGTCAATCACATATATAGTAGTAAGATTTCAAAAGTCTCACTTCACTAAAAGCAAAAATAATAAATACCAAAGCAGATGGCAATGATTCTAATACTAATTAACACTACATTAAAATGTATGACAATAAAACAAAAGAGCAAAATGACAGTGAAAGGGAAAAAAGAAAAACAACTTTTTCTGTGCAAACAGACCCAATTATCTCCCTTTTGCCTGGGATTCAAACTATTAATAATTTAATTTTCATCCCAAGGAAAATATATGCAAGCAATCAAATAAGCCAATCAAAAAAGTTCTTTGTATTTGTGGTTTATAATAACATTACAAAGTTCTCTCATGCGACCATAGACAAAACGTTCCTTTGTTCCTAATTTTTTATTTCATTTACTTATTTTTTGGTATGCCGTCAAACAACAAAAACAGCAAAGCAAGCAAGAAGTATTTTGATTTGTTTGTTTTGGTTTTGTTTTTCTTTTCTGCACCTTAAGAAATGCTACATTGACCCTTGCAATGCCCTGTCTTTTTATTATGTTCTGTTTGAATGAGTGACAGAGAGCAAACGAAGACCAAATGAGCAGGTTAAAAGGCAGGCTCCACAATCTCAGTACCTTATCACTATGGCTATGCTCCTCGTTAAGGGTTGTGCTACTACAGGTATCTACCCCAGAGTCCTTAATCTGAGGCTCAGACCATTCCAAATCCTCTTCCAAAGAGTGGCCACCAAAGTACATCATTTTCTTTTGTCTCTCAGACCTGGTGTTAGAGTCCGACAAAACTGCCTGCTCACTAGTTTTTCTTTTTCCCTTTTGACTGTCCCCTATAGGTGTGGGATAAAAATAAAAAAAATAAAAGATACAAAAAAGAAAACATGCAAAGGTGTAAATAAAAAAAGGAAAAGTGAAATGATAACAGAAATTAAATAGTAAGGCTCCACATGTCTCACCAAAGACATTGGGGATGCCTCACTGCTATGCCAAGACGTATGGTCCAACCAGTTGTAATCCATGTCTCCTGTGAGAGTCAGACAGACAAGAGTGTAGTAAAGGAGACCGTGAGAGAAAGGACAGACAAAGACATTAGAAACATTTTAAACTATGTGATACTGTCTGGTTTCAGGAACTTTGTCTGTAGCACTCATTATATATACCAAGAGAAAGCTAAGCTTTCAAATGAGTAAAATTTATAGAACATAAAATATAAAATTTAGGATCTCTAGATAGACCCTACAGAACAAAAGTCCTGCAATGAGAGAAAAGCCTAATAGTAAACAGGAATAGAAACAAAAAAATTATATATTCTTAAAAAAAAAAAAGACTATCAGCTATGTCTATTATTCATGCTATTTTTTTTTCATGCTGGCCTACAGACATGAGTTTTATTCTACAAAGATTAAAGAACATATTAAAAATTAAACAGTGGTTTGCCAATAACCACTATAACAAAAAGCCAAGTAATTAAATGTTGTTCCTTGAATGTAGTATGATTCTTTATTATCCTGAAACCTCCTAAAAAATTTGGGTGGTTAAAAAAAAACAGAATTGGTTACACAAAATCATAATTTTGTATGAAAATGAAAAAAACAAATTCATTCAATTTCTATTAGTAAAAATAAATTTTCTTAAATATCATGAATTACCTATTATTTTGAAACATTTTTTCAACTTTTTCAGAAATTGCATTCTCATAAAAAGTACATTTTCCTTTTAATATAATTTTGTTAGATCATTTGTGTAATTGGCAACTAAGAATGAATATCCATTTCCCAAACTTAGTTGCTTGTTATTTGCCTTACATTTGAAAAAGAATTTCTTGGTATGCTTGGAATACCAAGCATATTCTCTGACCACAATGCTCTGAAATTAGAGATAAGCTGCAAAAAAAAAAAAAAAAAAAAAGGGGAAAACCCCCAAATATATGGAGATTAAACAACATGCTACTAAAGAAATGACTGGGTTAAAGAAGAAATAAAAGGAGAGATCAAAAGATACATAGGAACAAATGAGAATGAAAATACATCATATCAAAATTATTGGGATGCTGGGAAAGCAGTATTAAGAGGGAAATTTATATCATTACAGGTATATCTCAAGAAACAAGAAAAATCCCAAATAAAAAATCTAACATTACATCTTAAAAAACTAAAAGAAGAAGAACAAATGGAACACAGTGAGCAGAAGGAAGAAAATAATAAAAAATAGAGCAGAATCAAATGAAAGAGAATAAAAAGGCAATATAAAAAATTAATGCAAGAAAAAGCTGATTCTTTGAAAAGATTAATAAAATTGCCAAACCCCTGGCTAAACCCACTTAGGAAAAAAGAGAAAAGACACAAATAAGTCAGAAATGAAAGAGAAGTTATAATGGATACCCCAGAAATATAATCATGCAATAATACTACACAGGACTATATGCCACCAAATTCAATAAACTAGAAGAAATTGACAAGTTCTTAGAAATATATAACCTTCCTAGACTGAATCACAAAAAACTGGAAAATTTTAGTAGACTGATCAATGGTAAGAAAATTGAAAAAAATCATCCAAAATCTCCCTCAAAACAAAAGTCTAGAACCAGATGGTTTTACTAGTATATTCTACCAAACATTCAAAGATGTTTTAATACCTGTCTTCCTCAAACTCATCCAAAAAATTCAAGAAGGGTCAATACTTCTTAACTTTTTTATGAGGTCAACATTACCGATACCAAACCTGGTAGGGCAACACACACACAAAAAGAAAGGTACAGACCAATATCTCTGATGAATACAGATGCAAAAATCCTAAACAAAATACTAGCAAGTTGAATACAATACATTAAAAGATTATACATCACAATCAAGTGGGGTTCACTACAGGGGCACAAGGATGGTTCAACATACACAAATTGATCAATGTGATACACCACATAAACCAAATAAAGGATACAAATCATGTGATCTTATCAATAGATGCAGAAAAGGCATTTGACAAAATACAACATTCATTAAGATTGAAACACTTAAGACAATGGGTATTAAAAAAGTACCTCAACATAATAAAGGCCATAAATGACAAACCCTCAGTTAACATCATATTAATGGTGAAAAACTGAAAGGTTTTCCTCTACAATCAGGAACAAGACAGGGATGCCCCCGTCACCTCTGTTATTCAACATAGTATTGGAAATCCTAGCCAGAGCAAGCAGGCAAGAGAAATAAATAAAAGGCATCCAAATTGGGAATGAAAAAGTTAAATTGTCACTTTTTGCAGATGACATGATTCTTTATATAGAAAACTCTAAAGACTCCACCAAAAAAACTATTACAAACAATAAACAAATACAGTCAAGTTGCAGGATACAAAATCAATGTACAAAAATCCATTGCGTTCCTATATACTAACAATGAAATTTCAGAAAAAGAAATGAAATAAATAAAAAACCAAACCAATTCCTTTTGCAATTGCAACAAAAAGAATAAAATACCTAGGAATTAACAAAGGATGTGAAGGACCTTACACTGAAAACTGTAAAACATTATTAAAAGAAAATGAAGAAGACAAAGAAATGGAAAGATATTCCATGTTCATGGATGGAAAGAATCAACACTTAAAATGACCATATTACCCCAAACCATTTACAGATTTAATGCAATCCGGTCAAAATCCCAATGTCCTCTTTTACAGAAACAGAACAAAAAATCATCAAAAGACCCCGAATCGCCAAAGCAATCCTGAGGAAAAAAAAAAAAACAAGGCTTGAGGTATCACACTCCTTGACCTCAATTTATACTACAGCAACAATAATCAAAATTGGTAGAAAAACACACACACACCAATTGAACAGAATTGAGAACCCAGAAATAAACCCAATATATACATGGGCAGTAAATTTTCAAAAAAGGAACCAAAAACATACAATGAAGAAAAGACAGCCTCTTTAATAAATGGTGCTGGGAGAATTAGAAAGCCACGTGCAAAAGAATGAAACTAGACTGCTATCTGTCACTGTGTACCAAAATTAACTCAAAATGGATCAAAGACCTAAACATAAGACCTGAAACAATAAACTGCATAGAAGAAAGCATCGGTACTAAATTTATGGACCTTGGGTTTAGAGAGGATTTTATGAATTTGACCTCAAAGGCAAGGGAAGTAAAAGAAAAAATAAATGAATGGGACTATATCAAACTAAAAAGCTTCTGCACAGCAAAAGAAACCATCAACAAACAAAGAGGCAACCAATCAAATGGGAGAAGATATTTGCAAACAACACCTCCCATAAGGGGCTGATATCCAAAATATACAAAGAACTCATACAACTCAAATAAAAAACCACACAAACAATCCAATTAAAAATTGGCAGAGAGGGCCGGCTGAGTGGCTCAGTTGGTTAAGAGCTTGCTCAAGAGTGCGAGCTCTGAACAACAGCAGTTCAATTCCCAGCCCGAGCTGAGCTGCTGCTGAGTTGCCAACAGGTGGCAGGATGGCTCAGCTAAAAAACAAAACAAAAACAAACAAAATAACAAAAATAAATAAGTAAATAAATTGTACTGAGTATGTTTTAGGAACTATAAAGTGACAAACATATATATGGAAAGACGCTCAACTTCACTAGCTATTAAGGAAACGTAAATCAAAATCACAATGAGATACCACCTCATACCCTTAGAATGGCTATTATCAACAAGACAAGTAATAACAAGTGTTGGAGAGGTTGTGGAGAAGAAGGAACCCTCATACACTGCTTGTGGGAATGTAAATTGGTACAGCCACTATGGAAAACAGTATGGAGACGCCTCAAAAATTTAAAAACAAAATTTCCATACAATCCAGCAATTCCTTTTCTCAGTATCTACCCAAAAAACTGAAAATAGTTATCTGTAAACGTATATGTATCCCTATGTTCATTGTAGCATTATTTATGTATTATTGTAAGACATGGAAACAACTGAAAATGTCCTTCTATAGATGATTGAATAAAAAAGATGTGGTACATATATACATTGGAATATTACTCGGCCATAAGAAAAATTGAAATACTGTCATTTGCGACAACATAGATGGATCTTGAGAATATCATGCTAAGCAAAGTAAGTTAGACAGAAAAAGTCAAGAAGTATATGACTTCATCCATATGTGGGTACAAAACTGAAAGCAACAAAAGAACAAGACAAACAAAACATCATAGACACAGACAGCAGTTTAGTGGTTATCATAGGGTAAGGGAAAAGGGGTGGTAGAACAGGGTAAAGAGGGTCAAATATATGGTGATGGAAGGAAAACTGACTCTGCAATACAATGCAATATATAAATGATGTATTATAGAATATACACTTAAAATCTATATAATTTTACTAACCAATATCATCCCAATAAATTTAATAAATGTTTTAAATGAATTTCTTTTTAGTCTATATGTGCACATATCTTTTTAGACTCTATTTGTACATCATTTATTTAAAAATATTTACTAACCACCTTCCATTTGCTATGCACTGTGCTAAGCTCTAGTGTAAAGGGTAAAAGAATGACATACACAACACCGTAGAAATAAACACAATAAACAAATCACCAGTGTCATAAAACGAATTACAAAACACTAAAAGAGTATAGTAAGATCTAATTTAAATTTAGGGATCGGCAAACACCTCTAGTGATGCTTAAGATGAGAGCTGAAACATGTGACCTAAAGGACAAGAAAGGAGACGGGCAGATGGGAAGTGGAGGAAAGAGCATCCTAGGAGGAACATGGGAGTGTAAAAGAACTGCCAGAGCACCAGTGAGTCTGAAGCAAAAAGGATGAGGACAATTATTACAGTATAATGCTACACGAGATTGG